CTCAGCGATCCTACACGGCTCGAGCCTCTCTGAAAGATTTTCACATGTTTTGTAGGCTCACTTGTCTATCTGTCTGTCTGTCTGTGTGTGTGTGTGTCCTTCCGCCCGGCTGCAACGACCCAGCCTCTGCGGTCCTACTCATCTTCTCGCTTTGCACCTCCAATGTCTCCAATGCCTCCAATGCCTCGGAGAGTGGCTGTCGTCCGATCAATCAGGCCCACCGGGTTGCGTGACATCCACCAATTCTCCTCATCTCGTCTCTTTTCCCACACCACCTCGTTCCACTCTTTTCGTGTGACCCTTTCCTGTCGCCTTCTCCCTTCGACCCACTTCGTTTTCGTCTCGTCTCCCGACAATCCCATCGACACTAATCCCTCTTCTCTAATCCATTTCCTCTCGCTCGCCACCACAACCACACAAAGCCTATAGACAGACGCACACATGCACGACTTGGTGAAATGTAAGACGCAAATGGCTCGCACAATGGCACCAACTTGACGACACACACGGCCTCGTCGCCAGCCCATTAGACTCTGCTCAACCGTCTTTTGCCCTCTTCCCATGCTTGCAACCTGAGGCTTCGACGCCAATTGCCATGGCAACCGGGCAACACTTAATCGCCTGCGTGACAGAGGCCAATTGAAGAGGGACAGGCCCAGCCGAAGGGTTGGGCTGGTCGAGCCCAGGGCGGGATCAACTGGACGGATCAGTCGGGTCGAGGGGGGGAGGCGCTGTGGGAGACGAGAAAACGCCAAAAAAAAGGGAAATGGGAAAATGGGAAAATGGGGGAGCGCCATGAGGGTTGCTATTGGCGGCCACTCGCCAAGATCTGGCTCGAACTGAAAGGGCTCATGCTCCCTCGAATCGTCCGAATTTTCTTCTGTTGACGTCTTTCGACAACCAGTCCAGGTACCTGCTCCCTCGCATGCACACACACACACACACACACACTCGACTAACCATCTCCTCGTCCTTGTTCTCCCCTCCTCTTGTACTTATCTACGCCGTGGATCGAGTCCCGCGCATCTTTCGGACGCCGACCAGA